TTCAATTAAGCCTTGGCCAAAACCGAGGCTCCGGGTGAGTGTGTGAGTGGGCCAGCACATGCATTTGGTTACGAGGGAGTCTGTGTGAGCGGCGGTATTATTTTAGCGCACTTAAATGCACAGTTTAAAGCGCATCTCACTGTTGAGGGAAAGGGAAAAGCGAATTTGGCCCAGAACTTTCAAGTTAATTAACTCAATTACTTCTATTGTTCAGTAATGGGAGATTATCTTCTAAGCTCAGTTCAGTAAATTTTTAAAAACCTCCACTTTAATCCACAAGCAAGAAAACAAGTTTAAAATAATTTACCCAACAATAAACATTTTAAATGCAGATTAACAGAGCGTATTTTACAAGCTTTTAAAGTCATAATACTTTTAAGTCTGGAAATTGCTCCAGAACTAATAAACTTTAAGCCTGCTAATCTGTAATGCATATTTAAAAACTTTAAAACCAAAATAAACTTTTGAGCATTACTTTTAAATAAATAAAAGTGGGGAACTAGTGCACAAATTGGGGAATGGCTGTGGCTTACTTATGGGGATTCTCCACCCCGATTTGGAATTTAACCTTTGCCCTTTGAACCCACAAGCAATCATTAAACCCCGGGACACAGTCGAGCGCGCTGTTGGCATTGCAAGTTCGTCGGACACCTTAATGGCCAACAGCCGTGACAATCTCTTTTCACATTCCGGCCATGGCCCACACATTTTGCCACTCTGTGGCCTTCTAATTGATGTAACAAGTGTTTGGGCCATGTATCTGCCAGAATTTATAAGTGGCAAAAGAGTCAGAATTGGAGTCAGAGTCGGAGAGAAGACACAGTCAACACAGAGTCCAAGACGCTTGTCGATAGTAGTTGGCCTAGGGTCATCAGACACCCACATGCGACAGGACGAAGACGAAGGACGAAGGCCATGGGACACAACCACAGTGGGGTCTTTGGTGACCTCCCCCCGAGGATTCACACTCAATAGAGGGCGACACGTAGCTTGGCCAAGTGCTGATGGCCCAGACAACTACTGCCACTGAACCGGAGAAGGACTGGGGGACTCCTAGCCAGCGATTCCAGATCCCAGAAGCTTTTGCTTGACTTCGACTTGGGCTGTTGCTTGTAATAAATTTGCTTGGAACATGCAATGCTGCTGCTGCTCCTGCTGCCCCCGGGAACAAGTGCGAAGGATTCCGCAGGATACTGTCTGTGTGTCTGGCTTTTGTTCTATATCCATCGCTGATGATGTCGGTTTGCCGTGCAAAGCCACAAATTGCCACTTGGCTGCCCGCTCGTGCCAATCTGCTGCAATGCCTCTTCTTATTGTCGTTATTGGTGTCCTGGTGGTCCTGCTCCAGCTCCTGCTGCTGTTGTTGGTCCTTGAATAAATCTAAAGAAATAGCATTTAATGTCTATTTGCCGGAGATTAAGATAAAAAGCATTCCCTGGCAATGGCAATGGCAATGTCATCCGGGAAAACAGACTACTACTGCCACTGGGAACAGAACTGGGATGGACACTGGGCATTCGTGCGGCTTATCGATCTGGATTTGGTGCATTGTCTTGCTATCCGACCAATCCCTTTTCAAATGGCACGCTCGTAACTGCCACAAACAAGTGACACAATCAACACTTGATAGAACAAACACTTCTAAATTAATTAAATTGCAAATATCCTTGAAGCAGCTGCACTGTTCACTCACACACGGTCAGTTGGCCGCACACAAAAGTCTGTGCACTGGGGGAAAAAATCAATTGTTAAGTTAGAAAAATAATTGCATGGTCATTAATTAAATCTAACTAAACAATTATGAAAATTATGCCATAAATCTACCAAAAATGTTTATTAAATATACACATAAGGACCTCTTTTCATTTTATTATAGCACAATCTTAGGAGCTCCTAAAGAAACCACTTATGAGGATGCCTAGAAGATGGACATTGAAATAATTTGTTTTATTAAACATACACATAAGGGCTTTTAAGGTTTTTTAACGAGGTCCTACAAAAACCACTTCTAAATGCGCCTAGAAGTATGCAATGAAAAGAAGCTGTATATTCTCAAAGTGAATGCAAAAAAATATTGCGACATACTTTTAGACACCTTCAAAGGTAATTTTCCAACCTTAGTGATTTCAAGGGCACTGAATTTGGTAACATAAAAAAATCTAAATCTAAAAAGATTATTATTTTTTCAGAGTGTTCCCTGCACATCCCATATAGTTGTCAACGTACTCTCGTCAATACTCGTCCGTAGGACCACTCTGCTCAGAGATAATCCAGGCCATCAATAATGCAAACAGTTCTTCCTGCTCCCGCACCTTCTATTCTATATAGTATGCCATAGGACTTCCTCATCCCCATCCACCCACTGGGGCAGCCACTACATCGCCTTCAGTTTGAAGGAGCTGTAGCCTTGTTTGCTTTTCCCTGCGTCGCCTGCAGTTCTTTTGTGCTTTTGCTTTTGCTTCGGCTTGGAATAGTTTTGCTTTTGTTTTTTCCCCCATCTGGTTCCATCCACCAGGTTCTTTGGCTGGCGGCCGTTGCCCAACAATTTGGCCAAAGATTTCTCAAGTTGAGTTGAGTTTGGGTTAAACTTGAAAATTAAATGAAATATTTTGCAGAATACTCGGAGTTCCATCTGTGTATGTATGTATGTGTGGGGGGGTCATCGCTTATGCAAATGCAATCAGAAGAATGCCCCGAAAATTCGACCACCTCAGAAACAATGGAAAGGTTAGGCGATTGTCTCTCGGGCTATCAATCAAAGTTTTCTGTGGGGGTGTTGCCGCAAACAATATTATAGCTTTGGTTTTTCCCACCCACTTTTGCAACGCGACCACGCCCACAAATTTTACAAAGCCACAACCTTGATGCGGGCCCAGTGGTTTTGTTGGCAGCAATTACATAACACGAATATAAATTATGGGCGCGTGTAAATTTTTGCAATTGCTTAATGAGCGGAAGTGGCCATCATCGTTATATGTTTCAAGTTGTACATGTCGCTTAAAATGAATACCGCACGGTATTATATGTACGGGTGGAGGGGGGAGATTGGTCCTTGGGGAATGGGAATGGGTATAGGTGTAGGTATCGGGGGCGGCCAACGGAAGGGCGTGGCCTCGTCAGGTGTTCCGCATGCACTGCATAATTAATTACAATTAGGCGATCCGGGGTTTGATTGCAGGCAGGAGGTTCCTGTTAATTTGCAAAAGTGTTGCCCGTGCTGAAATACGCTGAAGCATTTAATTTATGGTCCAGCTGTTAAATGTTGCACTTTGTGTGACAAATAGCCTGTAAAGTTGCATATGTATGTACGTACATATATGCAATTTGAGATTTTTCGGCAAAGGCAAAAGGGTAATTAAAGTTGCCAGTGTCGCCGAAATGCATTATACATTTTTATGACTGTGAGTGTGGGGAATTAAAAGTTTCAATGTTTTTGATAGGTCTTTTATGAATTCTTGAATAGCCAAATTAAAATTTGCCTCAACGCTCCACCAACGCATTTACAAATTGAAAATTTGGCAAAAATTCCATTTTTCTAGGCCATCAATAGAATCTAGTATTTATTTTACCTGAATTCAATTGCGTGAAATAAATATTTTTGTGAATTTTTTGGCCAAAGTAATTGAAATATAGAGTGTCGCAAAAGTGTTGACGAACCGATAAAACACGTTTATGTGAAATGAAACATTTTCTAACTTTATGGGGGTAATTTAAATGTTTTCTTAGAAACCAAAAAGTGCAATTTCTAAATGATTAGATTTGTAAGGGCCTTTTTTCTTCAATTGGGGGAATGTATCTATCTCGTATGTATCTTGCATATGAAATTCATATCCATAACTTAATTTAACAATGTAAGTCCATTTCTCATCCGCAGTTAAATTAAAGGTAGGTTATAAACTCAAAATATCCTACGTTGTCTAGCTTAAACTAACTTTTAGTTTACATACACATGAGGAAACGGACCTACAAATATTATTGAACATGGAAGCCTATGAAAACTTTGAGTTTAAAACCTACCTTTAGTTTAACATGCGGATGAGGAATCTGTCCTTGTGGGTAAAATTTAAGTTGGGAAAATGATTCTGTCAAGCACTTTATTGTACTTTGTTCCTAGCTGCGCAAGTGAGGCCATAATTTCCTTATTTGGTTAGGCCAGTCAGCGCCGAGAATTGAATCACACTTTTATTTCGTCCCGAACTCAATTTCATGGCATTTAGAGCAGATTGTGAGTGGCGGCAGTGGCGGTCCGTCGCCGTCCGCAGAGTGACGTAAATTAAATTAGTGTCAAAAGAGCACTGTGAGTGAGTGTGGGTGAGCGTGAGTGAGTGTCTGTGCGTGCCTGACACGACCGACAAACATAATGACCACCAACACCAACAGAACATGAGGAACGGCTAAAAATAAGATACAAAAAAAAAAAAATGGAGAAAGGAGAAAAAAAAAAGAAAGGCGAGCAAAAATTGTATGCAAATTATGCTTGACATTGTTTCAGCATACTTTTTGGCGTGTGCGCCAAGACAAAAGCTGACATTTAGCCCAAGGAGCATAAAAAGTGATACAAAACGCAGGAATGAGACAGAGAGAGGGCTAGAGAGTTAGAAAGAGATGGAAGGGCAGGCGAAAACTTTGTGACATTTTTTGGCGCGCACAACGGAAACGTGCAAAACTGGCAAATTTATAATGAGCCGCGGGTTCAGGCGCGCTGCGTCCGTTCGCTTCTGCATCTGCCACCCACTTTTCCTTTCCTTTCGTTTCCTTTCCTTGTTTTCCCAACCCCCCCCAGCTCACCCCCCAGCCACCTTCAACCTCTACCAACTCTATCCATTTCCCGCCAGAGGCATTTTCTTTTGCTCTGCTAAGCACTAAGCGCATTTGTCGCAAGGTTTTGACTTTAAAAAAAGCGGGGCGCCGCAGTTCAAAAGGTTGCTGGATCCAGAGTTTAACGCTTTTGCCCATGGTTTCAAGTTAATACCTGAAAATGCTTTTAAGAATTTTCATACCTTGATTTATTGGTTCACACGCATATCCACGCGGGTATTGAGCGGAGTTTACTGCCAAGGCATTTGCATTTCAAATATGCCATGAATTGATGTATGGCATTGCTGAGGATTTCGCTAGCTGCAAATGTTGCACCTGAAAAAAATATATTATAACTAAAATATATCAAAATTTATGAAGTATTTATTATATGATAGCATTGTTGACAATTTGATTTTTAACGAGCATATTAACCAAGTTCATCTTCATTAGATTTAACCAACCCAATCAATCAAAAGTTCTTTGGTAAAAACCCTAATTATCATAATGTATTAACTCATATTTATAAAAAAAGCACAATTACAAGTTTCTCTTTCACAGTAATTAAGAGTCCATCATCATTTAAGGACTTTTTTCCTGTGTGCTTAAACTGACGTCAAGGCTCGCTGGAATTTATTGCATTATTGATATTAAATCGCCGAGCGAGTGCTTTAATTTAAAATTAAATACAGAAACCGAAATGGCATTATATTGTTGTCTGTTGTCCGTTTCAGTTCTCTGTTCTCGTTGGTGTTGCATTCAAATTTATTTTTCACGCATTTTAAATGTTTTTCCCAGCTTAATTGCGATAACGCACCATCTTTTAACAATAAATAAGATAACGAAGGCTCAGCGCGTACTGCAACAATAACAACCGCGAAAAACATTGACAAACAAAAAGAAAATTCCTGGGGGGGAATAACAATTTGTTTATCTTTTAAATGCCACACAAGGCTTCGGCTTGGCTTATTAAATTTGCGGTGCTGTCCTCTTTTCATTTTGCATATTGTATATTGTATTTTTTTTTTTTTTTGGCTTTTGGGCCAAGTCCGCGAACTTTGAGCCAAGTAATCAGCTTGCCTTCAGCGGAAAGTGACGAGGGGATGGTTAAGGGGATGAGGGGGGCTAGCCAAGCCGTTGACAAGTTGGCTAACTTTTAATGCAGCTCACTTAAAAGTTCTTACTCTCGACTGGAGCGGCAGCCTTGCGTTTACTTTATTAAAAGCACGACGGCGAAATCTTGATGCAATGTCAGGGCGAAAAATTTCATACAGAATGTTGGTTATAAATTCTTTAAGGTGTCTGCTCTACGTCGCTCTTAAAAATGCCTTATAATCTATGCCATTTTAACTGCATTAATCGTGCACGTATGCAAAACATCATCAGAGTATAAAAAAGGACGTCTGAAAACATCCGGCAGATATATATGTGTAGACGGAGGAGCAGAGCATCGTCGATTGCCTGGCACTTGGACACATGTAATAATTCAATTGTGTGAACATCTATTAAGGAAGATTGATGACAAGCGCCGGGGAATGAGAGCAGCCATCCGTCCCGAATCCTGGCTGCATGTCCTGCAGGACGATCCTGGCTGACCGGACGGTTAAGTCAGTGTCAGTGCGTCGCCGGAAAAAAGCAGATGAGCACAACAGGCACACAAACTCGGGGTTTCACTCATACACAGGATAAATAAATAAATAAGAGATGTGAGTACGAGCGATGAGGGAGGGGAGGGGAGGGGAAGGACGATGGAGGAGCATCTATCATACGGGCAGCAACTCAACGCTTCCTTCGGACGACGTCACACGTTGCCAAGGTGTGTGAGTCAGCTCGGATTCCACGCTCGTTCTGTTTTTAATACTCGGTATATATGGGGAATTGGGGTATATAGTATTTTTTAAAGACAATATTACTGAGGACCTTACCGTTTAACTTGTTTAGTTTCATTTAATTTTTATCAAAATGGAGGAATTCTTTGTTTAACAAGTGTGTAATGAAGGATAACTTATTGTATGAATTTTAAGATATTTAAAAATCTGATTTATTATTTATGGAATTAAAAAAAATATGAAAATGTGTTTTATACCTTAAAACCCTGCTTGGTTTTTGGTGTGTGATTTAAAAGCTATGGCCTCCTGAACATGATTAATAACAGGTCAACATACCTTGTAAAAATAATAGTCAGTCAGTCCAATATCAAGCAAGTGTCTTAAGGCCTTACTTGAAAATTTTTTAAAACCTTTACCTTAAAAGCCATAATATATTTGTTAGAGTATTATTTAGGAATACTTGAAACATTATCTTCATACCTTTAAAAAAAACCCTTTAATAAGAACCGGGTATCTTCTAGCCTATTCCGCATCTGACATGAGCTATATCTTCTTTTTTTTATTGTACACCGCAGTCTCGCATGTCAAATAAACGCTGTCAAATGGAAAATAATTCAAGCTGGGTCAGTCATGGCAGTCGCTCTTAAAGCGCTAACAGGGGAGCCGTCCAAGCGCGACGGAACCGAAGCAATATTGACTTACTGCCGGGCATTTTCAACCTTATTAAGTTGACACTGAGGCGGTCCGCCGCCGCCCGATTCTATGGCGCTTTTAAAGTTGTCATCTCCGCCCTTTATGACAATACGCTTGAGTGCGCGCCGCAGTGGCTTTAAAAAAAAAAAAAACCAAGAACGAAGTGTGCGATAAGTGGAAACAAGCTGACATTTATGCAGTTTGCCCAGCCAGCCTGCAGGCGGCAACCGTTCAAGCAGAGCACGGCAAAAGCATAGCAAAAGCATGGCGAAAGCATAGCACACATCTCGCAGTGGAGTGCACATATTTTGCTGTTTCAGCTGCGGCTGCGAATCCTCGAAGCTCCGGTTTCTACGACAGCAACAAAGCCAATACAAGGAACTAACGAGCTTATTTCCAGACACCAGCTCTCAGTCAAAGTCGCAACAGCAGGAGTTCTGAGAAATGGAGAACTGAGATGGGAATGCTGCCTGGCGGCTACATCACATGCATGATTGACTGCGCAGTTGTGCAGCGAAACGACTGATAGTCCATATAGAAACAAGGCGACAGGACATCCTGGAGGAGGAGTTCTCGAGGAGGGGGAAAACAGGTGGTCGCCATAAACTCCGGCCACATGTCCCGAGTTTCCCGCCACTTCATTTGTAAGTTTGATGAGTTGACTTCGATTTGGTTCGCCAGCGGATTATAACAATTCAAGTTCGAGGTTCTGCGGATGCATATAGCTCAGCGTTGATTGAGTTTAAACCAATTAAGAGACGCTCACTAAATAATGGCAGCCGGGGCGGATACGCAATAGTGAAGAAGGGGCGTATACGTAATAACAAAAAAAGGGAAGAGGTAATAAAAAGTGCATTAAAAGGTAAAGAAAACTCTGTCAGGAGAAAAAACTTCAGCTCACCGGCTTCGGCTGGCAGTTAATTAAAAGTTTATTTCCGGCGCCAGGGATGCAGCAAAAGTTTACCACCTAAATAAATAAAAATTGATAAGTACTGCAAATTTGAATAAAGATAAGGAAGTAATAATTCCTCTCTTCAAACAACATATAAGTAAAAGTAACTCGTAAAACCTCTAAAAGAATTCATGTATCCCTGGAACTCAAGGATGCTGCAGCCGCTTATTAAAAAGCACAGTGAACTGAACAAAACAGCACTTTATTAAACTATTATTAATTAAATGCTAGTTCTACTTATCAATTAAAATTGACTACCATGGCAGCAGAGAATAAAGGATAAGTACCGAGGAGCTGGAGAGCTGAAGGACCGGCGAGCTAAATAAAATTGGATTAAAGGGCGTTTCCTTTGTCTCCGCAGCATCCAGCTGAACATCCTGTGCGATGGAATGGATGCTCCTCAATCATCGGACTTGAACTCCCGCACTCGCAAAACGGAACCAAAAGAGGACAATTAAACAAGCAATTAACAGACGATCAAATTGAGTGAGTTGCCTTGTTGTTTGTCACTTGTCTTTCGGTTTTATGTGGAAAACCAATGCGAAAACACGACGATAGCAAACAGCGAAAACCAATAAAATGAACTTGTCATAAAATTAACGCATTTATAAAGCAAACAATGCGGGATTAACAACGGCGGTCCTGCTCCTGACACAGTCATCCACATTCGCATCGAATAAAATGGGAATGGAATGGAAAGCAAAGGATATATGGGGGGGAAATGGTGTGGGGGGATCGTCCTGGAGCGAATGACGGGATATAAAAACTGCCGCGTGCCGTATGCCAAACTATAGGCATTTATAGGCCATTTTTATTTACACGCTGCGGACGAGTTGCGTGAGAAATAACTGCCACTTCATTTGCACAGTCCCCGGCAAACAGATAAGACAAACATCGCCCTGAGCCCAAGCATCAACAACACACACTCCAGATCGTCATCATCATGGGCGGGATGTTTATGACAGACCCATATCCATATAACCAAGTCACTGTTGATTCCAACAAGCTCGTTAAATTAAAATTTTTACACACGATTTGTCTGGATAATTTAGATACTCCAAATGCATTTTATAGATACGCGGCATAATCAGGGACATTGTTTTGCAAATCATTATCTATCAGATTGTAAAGTAAAAAACAATATGTTAAAACTTAAAATCAATTTTGAAATAAATCGAATGTTACGTTCTTTAACGAGTGATAGTAGCTTAGTTGCATTAAAATAATTTATCGATATCTGTCTCGATATTTTTCTAACCGATAACTTGCCAAATTTGATGAGAATTACTGATCAATTAATCCAAAGATATTTATGTTGATTCAAATGATACTTTCAGGTAATGCGATTATAAATGAAACCTTTCAAGGAATATTTTAAGGATGATTAATAGATTTTATATCGATTTATCCGATAACTTATGGTAATCGGATATTAAAGATTCCCAAAATCGTAGCAGTTTCATATCGATAGTGCATTTGGTATTCGCTTTAAATATCAAGTCCTTGCACCTCGCAAGTGAAGCATGCCAATACTCGGCTTTATCGCTGTAGTTATGAGGAAGTCGCGCCGTTGCTGTGGCTGTTGTTGTCGCTCCTCGTACATCGTATATTGCACGACAGATGGCGCACACTTTGCGCCTTTGCCCACAAATTACTGCAGTCAAATTGATCGATTGTCTCGTGCAGGAACGACAGGAAGGACGAAGGGCCCGAAAGGATGGGGAGCGATGTAATGGGGCCAAGAGGAGTGGCAGGATGAAGGGAGACCATTTTATGATATAAGGCAAGAGGCACTGAACTGTGGTAAACGATTTGTTGTTGTTTTTGTTGTCTTGAACATTGCATGCCACAAACACGCACAC